TAAACCGTTGTTTGTTTACCTTCAAGCTCTTTCTTAGTTGCTTGACTCGTGTGCATGTGAAGCTGCTGGTGAGCACCAGCACACTCGCATCAACTATCAACAAATGCCTGACATCTTCTATGTTTACAAATACAAGCGCAGCTGTTTATATGCAATTTCTGGTTAATGATGTCAGAATTTACCGGGATTTTGGAATAGATGTGTGAATGGTCTATTCCAGAAAAATTCTGGAACGTTCTTGCCTGTGTAAACGTTTTTTTTTTTTTTTTTTTTAATTTACCAGTAAGGTCGTTCCAGTAACTTTCCAGATATTTACCTGTATCACTGTGTGATTGGGGCTATAGACTTTACTTGGGCGGGCTGCCCAGGTATATTAACAGTCAACAAAGTATATTTAGTATATTTTTTTACTATTATCATCATCCTTTTACTTTTTTTTTGTATCCGCCCAATATAACCCAACAGTTGTGATCGATTAAGTAGTGGACCCGTTTTGTTCTGTGTGCGCGAGACCTGTCAGCGCTCCCACCAACAGTCTCGCGTGCTTTGCAGACCCACAGAGATGCGCCTTTTTGGGACTTTAAAAAAAAAAAAAAACATCTGCTCCATGTTTCTAAATCTCCAGGATTCAAGCTTTCGCTTTCTACAGCTCACACGCGTTTTTGCATTACTCTTTTATTAAAGACTTTCCGCTTGCTTCACGGCTGACAAAGCGCATGGCCACAAAAAAAAGTAAATAATAGATTCTTTTATCTAAACGATTCAAAAAAACTTTATACACAGAGAAGACGAAATGACTGGTCTAAACTGGCTGCAAAATATATGGTAATGTTTAATCAACGCATTTACCTTATTTAAATTATCATCAAGTTTTAATCTTGTAATTATGATTTTTTTTTTGAGATAATGTCTGTTTTTATTCTTTTTTCTGACATTTATTTCCCATTTGCTGTATATTTCATTAATTTGATGATGTCAATACAGTTGAAGTCAGAATTATTAGCCCCCCTGAATTATTCGCCCCTCTGTTTATTTTTTTCCCAATTTCTGTTTAACGGAGAAGATTTTTTTTAACACATTTCTAAACATAATAGTTTTAATAACTCATTTCTAATTACTGATTTATTTTATCTCTGCCATCATGACAGTAAATAATATTTTACTAGATATTTTTCAAGACTTCTATACAGCTTAACGTGACATTTAAAGGCTTAACTAGGTTAACTAGGCATGTTAGGGTAATTAGGCAAGTTATTGTATAATGATGGTTTGTTCTGTAGTCTCTCGTAAAAAGATATAGCTTAAAGGGGCTAATAATTTTGATCTTAAAACTTGCTTTTATTCTAGCTGGAAAAAAATAATATCAGACACACTGTGAAAAATTCTTTGCTCTGTTAAACATAATTTAGGAAGTATTTAAAAAAGAAAATAAAAATCAAAGGGGGGCTAATAATTCTGACTTTAACTGTATATCGCAGAATAAAAAAATATCTCAGTGCTAAATTTTTCCAATATCGTGCAGCCCTAATATGTGTGGGTGCGTGTGTATCTATGCATTGTATGTATGTATGTATGTATGTATGTATATATATATATATATATATATATATATATATATATATATATGTGTGTGTGTGTGTGTGTGTGTGTGTGTGTGTGTGTGTGTGTGTGTGTGTGGGTGTGTGTGTATGGGTGTGTATCTATGCATTTGTATGTATGAGTGTGTGTGCACGTCTGTGTGTCTATATATACACACACACACATATATATTTATATATATATATATATATATATATATATATATATATATATATATATATATATATATATGTGTATGTGTGTATATGTTTTTTGGGCACTCATTTATTTATTGAGACTGTTTTGATTCATATTCAAGTTACTGACCAGTCCTATCAAAGATTAGTTAAAACTCATGAGTAATAAACAAAAAACTTTAATGTCAAGTAGATTTAGCATTATTACAGAAGCTCAACACAAACAGAACGTAATAAGTTATACTTATAACTTGTAAGAAAGTTGATTCCTTTATCTAATAAATTCAGGCGTGTGCATGTATTAGCTGCCTCTTCTTCATTGCAAAAGATCTACATGCATAAACACAAATAACACATTGTAGATTTTTAAATGTACAAAAAATGCTGCATCATACATTCATGAAAAGCTTATCAATACTAGTAACAAGCTCAGGCATCCTTTTGTACTTTCAGTTCTATTCTATTAATAACCTAAAATTTATTTCCTTGACCTATGATCTTTGACCCATTTCTTTAACGCTTTAATACTCACGTTCGACGGTGAGTTAATAAAGAACAAGAGCAACAAAGAAAAACACCATGTCATATTTTAAAAGGCGATCTTCACGTGACGCTCGTTCCCGCGGTGTGTGAATCTCCGCTCGACGTGCAGAATGCTGTTTGGGCACGAGGACGTGCTCTCGCGCACGTACGCGTTTATTGGCCTCGAAAAGAGCACGAGCACAGCGCGTGGATTTCTGCGTCACGGCGGCTGACCAATGGCGTGCAGCAGCGATGCCACAGGACTGGGAAAACTCGAATTATGTAACCCTTTCACACCCTTCACCACTAGGAAACAGCTACTGGAAAAAATGAAAAAGAATAAAGGCGAGCTACTGAACTCAGGATGCATGTCTATTGTGCAATTAAAGACAAACATGGGTAATCGCAAATAAATACATAGAATTAGTAATATTATAAACTCCTTTCATTTAGGGAAGCAAGACCCTAAAAGACCAAGGAGATTTAAAAAATAAATAAAAAAGCTGTTTACTTACACACCTAATCCCATACTAGATGTTGGCTATTTTTTCTCACTACAGCATACGTTTTTTTTATTTTTTTATTTTTTATTTTTAGCTGGAAATGTGATCCTTGTGATTCATATAGTGTTTTCTGCATTTTGAGAGACATAATAAAATGATTACATATGGTAGTTGTCTTCCATTTGGGTCTAATGAAGTGAAAACAAGCCAGAAAAGAAAAAAAGGAACATTATTTTGCACATTAGTCTCTAAATGCACAGATAATTGTATTTTTTGGGGTGAACTACCTTTTAAAACGTAAATGATTTTCCTTTCTTTATGGTCCCAAAGCATATTGTGATTAAATAATTCCAGAAAACATCTGAAAATGTGATCCTTGGTGTTTTATACAGTGTTTTCTGCATTTTGAGAGTAAAAAGAGACATAATAAAATTAATACCTATGGTAGTTGTCATATTAAGGTCTAATAAAACAAAAACTATCAAGAAAAAGCCAGAAAATAAAAAAAGGAATGCTAATTTGCAAATTAATGTATAAATATGCAGCAAGCTGTATTTTTGGGGTGAACTACCTTTTAAAACATAAATGCTTTTCTTTCTGCTTTTTACCAAAGCATATTGTGATTAAGTCATTGCAGAAAAACATCTGAAAATGTAATCCGTGATGATTTCAAAGGTGTTTTCTGCATTTTGAAAGTTAAAAGAGACAATTACAAAATACAATTAATACATATGGCAGTTGTGCTCCATTTAGGTCTAATGAAGTGAAAACAATCCAGAAAAAGCCAGAAAATAAATAAAAAGGAACACTGTTTTGCACATTAATGACTAAATACACAGAAAATTGTATTTTTGGGGTGAACTACCTTCTAAAACATAAATGCTTTTCTTTCTGGTCCCAAAGTATATTGTGCTTGAATAATTGCAGAAAACATCTGAAAATGTGATCCTTGGTGATTTATATAGTGTTTTCTGCATTTTGAGAGTAAAAAGAGACATAATAAAATGTATTTCAATGGTAGTTGTGTTAGATTAAGGTCTAATGAAACAAAAGCAATCAAGGAAAAGCCAGAAAATAAAGAAGGAACATTATTTTGCACATTAATGACTAAATACGCAAAAATTGTATTTTTGTGGGTAAACTACCCCTTTAAATATTAAATGCTTTGCTTTTTATGGTCCCGAATCCTATTGTGATTAAATAAATGCAGAAAACATCTGAAAATAAAGCACAAGTGCTGTGAAATGCTGAACAACACAGGACACATCTGAACTATGCATATTTCATAAAGGTCTATATTCAGATTTATTTATTTATCTTGTATTTTTTTCTAGAACATTATTTAAAGATGACATGAAGACAATAGAAGAGCCAATCCTACAGGGGAAATGCAAATAATCAATAAGCCCAACCACAAGTTACAGGCCACATCATGTACACATTTGCACAAAGGAAAGCCCTGCACTATTTATTGTGCATTTTGCATGAACAATTCGTGTTGTGCATTAACAAAACTATAACTATCCATAAACATGTTGAGTTTCAAATCATTATTTACATTATAATGTATTATTATAAGCATTATAGTGATCAACAATACAGCAAATGCAAATTGTTTCTCTGCATTCCTCCTCCAATGTAATGCAAACACCGCAGAGATTTAATAAAACTGGTGTAGGAGTACATGAAATACAGTGCGCCGTCTGTGTCCATTGTGTTTCTTGACCGTTCCTCAACTTCTGCGTAAACAAGTTGGAATTGTAGGGCGTGTGTCTTGGAAAGCGCCTCTTAGCCAATCAGCGTCGACCTCCCTACCACATGGTCTGGTTGTTTACTACAAGAGCAGAAGCCCGCTAGAAGGCGCCGAGTTGAAAACCTGGCACTGGATTCCTGCATAGCAGCTCATCCTGGTGAAGATTAAACAAATATGAATATTAAAACGACATTAAACCGAAGTTCTGCTTGCTATGTGAACGCTGTGGATTATTATAGACGTATTTAAGTTTAGCGTTATTATTGTCGTTGTGCTTTTTTAAACATTGTTTACACGTTACTGTACAAAATCCAGGCCGGGATTTCGAATAGCTGAACACAAGCCGTTCTGGGCTCTGAAAAAGGGCATTTTCAAGTTACAGCCGGTCAGAGCGAGCCTTGTGGAAAGGGGGTGTGTTGAAAATTGGCAAAGGTACGTGCGCAACGTTCATTGAAAGTTTTTCCTCTGATTTTAAATGCATTTGTGTTTTAACGTGTCGTTGTGTGCTCCTCTAATAAGACTGTGTTGTTTGGTGTCATTAAGGTTAGTGCATTATTACTGTGAATTAACATGAAGGGGCTGTTTGGATGTTTGCGGCTTGTTTGTGTGTGATGCTGTGCTTCGATGTTATGAGAACGGCCGTTTTAGTTGTTCTGCACAGATTCGGTGTTTACACCAGGGTGAACTTTTGTGGTTGGTGTGAAAAAACAGATTCACAACAGAATTTCGAATAAAAAGCGAGCAGGTTAATTAATTCCAATTTATAATCTGCAAAAGAAACGAACTTTTTTAAGTGAGAAGAGATTAGCTGTCCAGCTGCTACAGTGTGGTCATTTTTGCTAGGACAGCATTATTTACGCTTTGAGTGAATAGTGGACGGATAATCTGCTCCTGCCGCGCGTTCTGGTCGCGTCTGCGAGAGCGAGCATGTGCCGAGACGCTCACGCGCTGATATTAAATGCTCCGAATCCAGCGATGTTCATTTCCTGGAGAACGAATCTTTTGAGTTGGATCTCTTCATTGATTTGATTGAGCCGGTTCACAAAACAGATCTGCTAGGTAATGAATCGGTTGTGTTGTACAGGAGTATGTTTAACCTGCAAACAACTGCTGCACATTTACAAATCTTCTCTAAATTATCTAGAGAAATCGTTTTAGTGCAAGCTGTTTTATGATATGGATCAAATCTACATGTGTATGACCTGGGATTCGTTCAAGTGTGCACGTATGCGACCTTATTGATATAAACAGCTCTTTGAGCCTAAATGGCGTCTTTGGAATGTTTTAGAAACATGCAATATGCCACGCCGGTGTGTGAGGGCACATGCGGTGACGTAATTACGTTATGACGTAATAATACCCTAATCGTTGTGGAACCGGTTCCTTTCAAGAAAGCGACCCAAAATAACCGATTAACGACGAATTTCACCTCACTAACACCGAGTCTACCCAACATTGACGAACCAAAAATAAAAAAAAAACATTTATGTAAAAAATGTATGTAACACTGTACTGCAAATTTAGCAGGTTAAAGAAATTGCTTTAAAGTGAAGGATTTACTTCAAATGCTAGAAATTGTTTAATTTAAGATGCAAAAACATCCACATAATTTTAAATAACTTGCATCTGTTGCTTATACTGTTCCGTCTACTACTGTACATTCTTTCTAAACCCTCATATTGTGCAACACTGTCATGAGTTACAGTGCAAACCACAATATAAAGTGATACAGCACTAAAATACTAAACTAAAATAGTAATATAATTTTAACAAGTTGCACAGTATTATCTTCACTATGCTCTTTTATTATTATTATTATTATTATTATTAATATTATTATTTGTTCCTGCAGCTGAATATATTTAAAAATGTTATAATGAAGATCTTTTTAAAATAGCTTAATATGGTATACAACTTTTAGTATCAATTCATGTTCATTTATATAGCGCTTTTCATAATGAAGATTGTGCCAAATTTTAGTAGATTGTATCAGATTTGTATAAAACAAGTATACAGGGGTGTAGCAATCGAGGGGATATGTCTCCATCACTTTAAGAGACAGACTATTTAGAAACAGGTGATTAATATTTTATGAACGTAAACTTTTTTTGATTTCATACAGCTGCCATCCCCGCCCACTCATTTTTAAAATGTCTGCTATGCCCCTGCGAGTACATTTCCTTCAGAGATTACATTTTTTAAATTTGTTGCCCATGAAATTGTGCCTATTTTGTTTGCAACATAACTATATTTATTGTAATTTAGATTTGTTTATGTCATTCTTATGTATACCAAAAAGCTGATTTTCTTTAGTAATGTTTTCCAAAATATTCCATCATTTTACAGCATGTTCAGCATTTATAAATTAGTTTACAATTAATTGAAGTTCAGATGAATCATGTCATCTCATTCACCTCTATTGTTGCATTAAATTGAACTTTTAATTCAAATGAAAGCAATATTATCTTTCCCATGCTGTTGAATGGGTATTATAACAAGGACAATTGTTATAATTGGACAAGGAAAATTTTTCAAGTAAAAAAGTGGCAATTTCTCTGAATCATAACTTACTGGAATGGTGGTAACCTTATACCTGACTGCAGCTAGTAATAATGGTCATCTAGTAATTACCAATTCCTCTGAACCCTTTGGTGAACAGTTTTGAGCTCTACAGAGCCCAGCATGACCAGAAATGTCAATGTCTTGCATCAGTTTAAAGTAGTTCATTCTGTGCTGACAGTGACTCAGTCATTCAGTTACACGTACATTTTTACATTTGCATCATTCGTCCTGTGATTTCTTAATAGTTTGACGTTTGTTTGACAATTGCCAGATGTTTCAAGTAAAGATGGTTGGTGATTCACAATGATTTCACTGATCGGATTCAACAGGTGACCGCAACAGTGAGATCAACCCTTATATTTTGGTCATGGTGTCATCTAAAAGATATTGTTTTTAACAATTGCCTGATATGAAAGGCAACGTGCATGAAGCATCCTTTGCCCTGATGATACTAGATAATAAAATTTAACTAGGCAAGGTTTGGTAAATAGGCATATCATTGTATTACAGTGGTTTGTTCCGTAGACTATCAAAAAATCTACTCAGGGTATCTGCAGGGTCTTAAAATGTTTTAAATCTCAAACGCTAAATTTCATACCCTAAAAGGTCTTAAATCCACTGAAATATTGTGTTGTAGGTCTTAAATCTTTTTTTAACGGGTCTTAATTTCCCTTTCGTTCATATATAGCTACCAAATCTGGCCATTAACACCCATACAGTCACCAACAACCCATTTAAATAAAACTTAACTTTTTATTTAAAAGAGCATTTAATTAATTTCCTTACAGTAAGATGTGCTTAAAAGTTCTTGATTATTTACTGCTGTGGATACTGACCTGACCTATTTATTTTATTATTAAATGATTATTATTGTAGACTGAAGTATTCGACAGCTATGTTTTTGTTCTAATCTTGGTAAGGGTTATAGGTTTATTGTTGTTGTATTATTAAATGTATTCAATAAAAAAATGAATGGGGCTTGTGAAAATCTTTTCTAACTGGATTATTCGAAAGAAAATACTTTAGTATTTAGCTCTTTGTAAGTCTAAAATGTGGTCTTAAATTTAACTTGGTGAAACCTGCAGAAACCATGATTTTGCTTAAGGGGCTAAAAGAATTGACCTTAAAATGTTTGTTTTTTAAATTGCTTTTATTCTAGCCAAAATAAAACAAATAAAACTTTCTTTAGCAGAAAATTTACTATAGTAAATACTAGGCCTGCACAATATATCGTTGAAGCCACATCGCATTATATTTGAGAATTTTTGGCTTTTTTTTTTTTTGTCCAAAAATCTCAATTTCAAACGAAAACAATATTATTTTACTTACCCCATTGGCAGAATATTTTACTTGTTTTAAGTTTATACACTTAATGAACTTAATTTTGACCTATTACATCTAAAAGTAAAAACAAAATATTTTAACTTGATTAAAGAATGTAGTTATTTGGACTAGAAATGAGACAAAAACTTTAAAAGTAAAGTCAAAAAAGTAAGTCAAGGCACTTACAAAATGTGGAAAAAATATTAAAAATGTTTTATTGACACAGCTATTCCTTAAAACTGCGCTATTCCTCAAAGATTACTTAAATGAAACGATTAAAACTATTCTGGTGAAACTGTATTCGTATCGCAATATATATTGCAGGAACATAAAATATTGCAATATTATTTTTTTTTTCATATCCTGCAGCCCCAGAAAACACTGAAAATTTCTCTGCTTGGGTAAACATAATTTTGGAAAAATTTGAAAAAGAAAAAAAAATCACCGGAGGGCTAATTATTATGACTTCAACTGTATGAGCTTATTGAAAAATTTGACCGTGATGATTTTATATCATCGGTGCTTGTTTTTTTCTTTCTTTTTTTATGTTTAAAACTTTTCATTGTATTTCAGTCTGCTGATACCAATATTTAGAGAACAGGCTGTCTAAATGATTATTCTTTTTGTGCACATATATAACTTTATTTTTTGTTTGCATCCTCTCTTTAGCTTCCGGTTTGCTGTTTGAAAAGTGCTGCTGAATCTCCATCTGGAGTTCTTTTAAAGCAGTCCAGAAGAAAGAAGGTACATGGAACAGAAAATGGTACCGAAGACCAGACTTGGGAAGCGGTCACCGCTGGGCACCCTGGTGTGTGGTTCCTCAGCGGAGGGCCTGACAGAAACAGGAGCACATGGATGCCAAGATGGTGGGCTTCACAGAAGCAAACTTTACCCTGGACAGAAGGTTAGCAGTGTTTTTATATTAAAAGCCTCAATCACACCAATAATACCACTGATATTCTTGGTTATGATATTGGCTTCCACACCAGCAGTTGGCAATGTTCTGTTTATTCTTAGTGCGGAAGTATTAGCATCTGCCAATTCAAGTAGGATGGCTTTTGATTGGCTATCAATGTTTTATTTTTTATTTACTTTCTCAAAGGGATTGCATCAGTGTTTCATGTGCTGTTGTAGTTGTAATATGAAGTCATTTATTTACTCGTTTAAAACTTTTATGCATTTTGGACATTCATATTAAGGCACTTTTCCACTGCATGGTATGTTGGGTTTAGGTACAGCCCTCTTTTGTGGGTGTTTCCACTGCTTCCTGTACCTAGTATGGGTGAGGTAGTTTCCAAACAAGCTGTAGCATTACCAAAATGTGATGTATACACACTGACGATCACTGATTGGTCCTAGAGTAAAGTAGATTTACACAACAATGACCTATATGGGCCAATCCATCACTGCCAATGATCTCCATATAAACTTCACACATTTTCTAAAACGTTACTTACAGTCACAGTAAAAACTCAGATTTGCATTTTCACTGACCCAGAAAGAGCAGTTTTCATGCATTATTATGAAGAAGCTTCCGTCTTTACTCTTTTTGTTCTAACAGGGTCGTTATTTCTGTTACAAAAGGGAGTAAATGACGTTTGTATAATTACTTTTAGACATCAGATGAATTGTTTAATCAATCAGTCAGTCATGAAAAGTAACTTTTGATAAACCACAACAAACAACAAATACAGAAATATATTTGTAATCGAATTAGTGGTTCAAGAAATGTGTTTAAAAATACTGATTCATCCAGTCATGTTGTCTGTCCTTCAAACCTATATTTAAAAAATTTACATAGCTAACAGGCTGCATTATGTTGAAAAAAATTGACATTTCGTTTATTGTTTTGCCACAATATATATTGAGATATGGAGAAAATGTCACCTAATGATAGCTCTATTTGGAAAAATGTCGTTATTTTAGATTGACTAGGATGATCTAGTCTTTTTCCATGCATTACATCTGCACAAAAATATTACAAATCACAAGCAAAATAAATAAATGAAAAAACTGTGCTTTATGGTTTTCTGGGGGATCATACAGTGTTCAAGAACAACTATTGACCAAAAGAATGTAAAATAACAGGGTCATCCTTGTATAAATAATTTAAAAATAATATATTCATCTTTTAATCTTTACAAAACAATCTAATAAGTTGATGGTTCATTCCGCTGGGGTCACCCCGGATTAATAATGGACTAAGCCAAAAGGAAAATGAATTAATGAATAAATGATCTAAACCTGCGATTTATATTGTTTAGCCCTAGTAAATAATCGTATTGTACATTTTAGTTTAGTCGATTCACAAAACAATCATGTTTCTCAGTGTCTCTTGCAGCTCTAACAGTTCTAAACCTCGATGTGAACATGCCTATAAGCCAAATATGAATGGTATTCACAGCTAGGTGTGTCTGCTCACCGCCTGCTTCACTTTTTTCTCCTGATATGTTTCAGGTGTATGTGCACTGCGGAGGCCAGGAATGTGGAGGTGTGGTGGAACAGCATAACCACGTGGACAACGAGGTGTCGATCTTCCTTCCCCAGCTCAACCAGCACGTTCACCGCAAGCTGGAAGACGTGTGGACAAGCCCAACGTCCAGTTCTACCTCTTCAGTCTCTTCGTCCATCGACGTGCCAAGAAGGTAATTCTTGTTTTAGATGATGGATGCTGACCAATGCCATGCACTAAATTAGTTCCCACGGGACATGGCATTTCTGGAATATGATAGAATTTAAAAATAAAAAGTCTATTCCAGACATTGAAAATCAAAGAATTTTATGCATTTTATTTCAGTCAAAGTCGTGGAATATCAGGCATTTTTGTTTGTCATTTTAAATTCTACTTCATATTTATGAAAATGTATTTTGTTCTGTGATAATTACGGTGATAATTTATCTTGTTTCTCATGTGTTGACAATTTTAACTACCATTTTATTCCCTTTCCACTTATCGACATACAATCAAATGCAGTCATCAGGCTTTACCTGTTAAAGTACTCTTATATACTTTCTTGCTCAATCAATTCCTCCTGGATTTTTCTATCTATCTATCTATCTATCTATCTATCTATCTATCTATCTATCTATCTATCTATCTATCTATCTATCTATCTATCTATCTATCTATCTATCTATCTATCTATCTATCTATCTATCTATCTATCTATCTATCTATCTATCTATCTATCTATCTATCTATCTATCTATCTATTTATCATCATTTATTTATTTTTGTGGTCTAATGCTGTGCCGTTTCTTAAAATTAGGTCAATATTTGCTCTGTTTTCCTAACGATTGCTTTGGCTGGATTTGCATTGCAATAATCTGTGGAACATGTGTGGCAATTAAAAAGAAAAATTTCAATGTTGAGCTGTGTGCTTGACTTCAGTGTTAAATTAAGCACTCGCACAATGAGATTGCTCAACGCCTGCATTAGTCACCATGAACAGCTGCACGTACAGTCTTCACTGCGGTTTAAAAGCAACTAGTGCAGAATTGCTTATTACATTTTCTTTTATTTAATTTCAGAAGAATTCCTCTAAACGATGCTCTAAATTGCCTGATTTCTGCTTTAAATTCAGCACTCGCAGATTAACAAAATCTTGGAGGGTCTGCTTAACACACAGCTGCCTTTTCTATGCATTATAGGCCATGGAAATTCAGCATTTTATTCAATAAAATTTGACAGTGGTAACCCTGATTCTAACTCTCGTTTAATGTTGCAGGAGTGTGGAGGCAGTGGACATGGATGAGATTATGGCTGCAATGGTGCTCACAAGTCTTTCTTGCAGTCCAGTCGTCCAGCACTCAACCCAGGGCAGCGTAACTCCTGGTAAGCTGAACGGGTTTGGTGTTTGATTTACAGTGTGCAAATCTGGCATAAACCAGATGAGATTGCTCAACGCTTGCATTAGTCACCATGAAGAAAACCCGAACAGCTGCACGTACAGTCTTCACTGCAGTCTAAAAGCAAATAGTACAGAATTGCATATTACCTTTTATTTTTTTAACAATTTCAGAAGAATTGCTGTAAAATGCTCTAAATATCAACTTTTCAAATATATATTCAGTATTTTACTGAATTAAGTAAAATGTTTGAGTGTGTTTGAAAGAAGTGAGTTATAATTATCAAGTCTGCACTGTTAAAATTATAATATTTAATGTTAATAAAGGTCTTCAGTAATATGTAGCAAGTCAAGTTGTTATGAGCAATGTTGAGGTGCTTAAATCACCATATTCATTAAACAGTCCTAAAAAATATTCATCAAAGTACAGTAGAACAGCATTCATTTGAAAAGTAAATGTTTTGGAAAATTACAAATGTCTTTGTCTCTTGAACAATTTATTGCCATTTTAACAGGTGTACGGTGGCTGAGAGAGCTTAACATGCTGCAATTAAAATAATGCATGCAATTACAAAAAAACACACGCAAACTGACAAAAAAATCTTCATTTGTTTGACCCCACACGAGCAACAAATTCTCACAATGCAAACGCGTTTAAAAAATGTGCTGCATTTACTTACAACGCAAACAAATTATGAAAACTCATGCAATTTCTCACAACACTTTCAAACAGCATGGAACACAAAAAAATGTTTTAAAGACACCCTAAAACGCGACAGACCCGGCTATTTAGGGTATGGGTATTCAGGCTAATAAAACACAAAAGACAAGGAATCAGGATGTTAAAATAAACAAACAAAAAAAACTCACGTTTTAAACTCCACCTACAACTTCACGGAGCAAAAGTCACGGCACAGCAGCGTCCATCACGTTTTAGGGACCCTGGACCACAAAACCAGACATATGTTGCACAAGTAGTGGCAATACCCAAAATACATTGTATGGGTAAAAATGATGGGACTTTTTCTTTTATGCAAATTTTTTTTACCATATTAAGTAATCCTATTGTAAATATCACAATTTTTGTTTGGTAATTTGCAATGTGAACCTTTTATTAAAATGTTTAAAGGTAATGAAGGTTGATTTTTATTTATTTATTTATTTTTTATTTTTTTTTTGAACCCTCAGACTGGAGTGTTTTTTTTTTTTTTTTTTTTTTTTTTTTTTTTTTTTTACATTTGGCCAAATATTGTCCTGCTATATGTTATATTATGTTATGTTGTATTATTCATTCATTCGTTTTCGGCTTAGTCCCTTTATTAATCAGGGGTCGCCACAGCGGAATAAACCACTAACTTATCCAGCATATGTTTTAAGCAGCGGATGCCCTTCCAGCTGCAACCCAACACTGGGAAACACCCATACACTCTTGCATTCACACACATACACAAAATTTAGCTCACCTATAGTGCATGTCTTTGGACTTGTGGGGAAAACCTGAGCACCCGGAGGAAACCCACGCAAACTTGGGGAGAATATGCAAACTCCACACAAAAATGCCAACTCACCCAGCCCTTCTTGCTGTGAGGCGATTGTGCTACCTACTGCGTCACCGTGACGCATATATTATATTATATTATATTATATTATATTATATTATATTATATTATATTTATTAATGCAATTATATAATGTAGTAATTTTTTAAATATAGTATTTAAATTTGTAATTCTTGCATGTTGGAACATGTTAAACATTACTGGACATGTAGTTTTTGATAAAGCGCATCTACTCACTGACCTCTGTTGTTCTCTGTGTGTATTAGCTTTATGTGGGATGGAAAATGGTGGTAGCGAACTGTCTGATGGAGGCTATTGGAGTTGCGACCATGGAAACGGAAGCCCTGCCCCTTCTCCGCCCATTGAGGAGACTGACAAGAGCAACCCTCATGCTGATGAAGGCCTGGACATGGAAATGGACCAAATGTTGTTCAATGAGCCAACACCAAGAAAACGCAAGGTACGCTGGAGGCATATTTATGTATATACACACTTCGATGTTGGCTGTCGATTTGTAAAGGCTATGTAGATTATTTGTTGTTGCAGTTTGGATGCTTTTTCACCAGATTGTAAGATTTAATCACAAAAGTGACAGAAATAGTCGCAAGAAAGTCACAATTCAGAGTTTATATTTATTATTTATAACCTTTTGGACCAAATTAACAGATGAATAATCAGATTTTTGAGACATAAACACAGAATTGCAAGCATGTCAGAATTGCAAGAAAGTCTCTGAGTTGTTAAAGTTTGTTTATATTTTCCAATTTGACTTCCCACCAATTTAAGAGAGAAATTTAAATTTTAAGACATAAGCTTACAACATAAACTCAGTCATGATTGCAAGAAAGCATAGAATAAACAACAAAAAAATCAGTTCAATTCATATTTTGCATCAAAAAAATCAAATTTTCTCAAATCAATGATCAGAATTGTGAACTATAAACTCAGAACTGCAATATAAAGTCAGAAACGCATATATGTATGTACACAATTCATTGTTGGATCATACATTATGCACAATATTTATATTTGGTGTGTTTTTCCACAATCTAGAACTCTGTCAAAGTAGCATATTGGTGTTTATGGCCAAATTGTGGAAAAGTCCTGACCACAGTAGTGGGCATCAAACGTCACATCCGAAATTCTCATCTTGGGTAAGCATCACAAACATGACAATAACCTAACAGCAGTGTCTAACCAACACATTCTGGTAAACATTCACATGGGTTTGTTCTTGCAGACAAAGTGACGAGCACTCCCAAAGGGAAGAAGACTTCTACTACACTGAAGTCTATCAGGATTTCGAGCAGACGGCTCCCCCTGGCGGCCACCGGGCGTCCTGCACTTCTCCATCCCCCATCCCGAGCCAACACACACCCCCTTCTCCCTCCACCCCGGACACACTCCAGCCCAGCCCGCTCAGCCAGTCTGCCCCGGGCAGCTTCTGGCAGGTCCATTCAGAGCACTCTTACCAGGTAAGATCATTTACATTGTGCTGATGTAATTAAAGAGCAGGTTTCCGTCGAAGGCCTTTCACTGCCATCAAAGATCTGATTGGTGTCACATGGCACTGTTTGCATCTTGTCCTAACTTAATTATGAACCCTGACTCTGATAATGCCTTTACAATATTGATGATTATCTTGTAAAAGTTTTTATTATAATAAAATATATTATTAGTAAAAAAATATCTAGTAAAAATTTTATTATGATAAAAAAATTCACACACACACACACACACACACACACACACACACACACATATATATATATATATATATATATATATATATATATATATATATATATATATATATATATATATATATATATATATATATATATATATATATATAATTTTTTCCCCAATTTCTGTTTAATGGAGAGAATGTTTTTATTAAACATTTCTAAACATAATTCTAATAACTCATTTTTAATAACTGATTTATTTGATCTTTGCCATGATGACAGTAAATAATATTTGACTGGATATTTTTCAAGACACTTCTATACAGCTTAAAGTGACATTTAAAGGCTTAACTAGGTTAATTATGTTAACTAGGCAGGATAGGGTAATTAGGCAAGTTATTGTATAATGGTTTGTTCTGTAGATTATCGAAATAAAAATAGCTTAAAGGGGCTAATAGTTTTGACCTTAAAATAGTTTTTAAAATATTAAAACTGTTATTATTCTAGCCGAAATAAAACAAATAAGACTTTATCAGAAGGAAAAAAATATTATCAGACATACTGTGAAAATGTCCTTGCTCTGTTAAACATTATTTAGAAAATATTTAAAAATAAAAGAAAATTCAAAGGGGGGCTAATAATTCTGACTTTACCTGTTTACAGTGCTCAGCATAATTGAGTACACCCCATTTTAAAAAATTTATATTTTTATCAATTTCTCAGTGAATATAGGCAATGTATTTTGGTGCATTTAAACACCAATTAAATAATAATTTAATCAAACTGTATATTTTTATTAAAATAATATTTTAGTCATCAAACATATTTAGAAACTGAAAGATAAATTCAAGCAAAATATTGCAAAAAAAATTAAAACCTACAAAATTTCAACAATTTTTTTATTTATTTTTTTTCCCTTCGTTTTTAAATTTGTATTTAATATTTTCCCATTTGGCTGTACTATCTTTTGGACTGTTATTGTAAGTTTTTAAAATTATTTTATTATTATTATTATTTTTTGCTAGATAAGCTCAAGATTTGGCTTCAGTACTGACTAACCTAATGTATAGTATATGCACAAATATAATATTGTATAGCTTCCTATTAAAAATATGAATTTAAAAGCGAGATTTGTGAGGGGTGTACTTGTATAGGCTGAGCATTGTGCATGCATACATGTATACATAGGTGTGGGTATGTGTGTGTGCACATACATGTATCATTTATTATTCTAATAGGGGCAGATTGATCCTAAAGGATCAATATTTTCAATACTGGCAATGTATCAAAAAGATTGACCCTTGCCTATATATGAACAGTTCAGATGCAAAAACCTCTAAATGCCATCAGATTTTTTTTTTAATGAGCAGTTTTATCACCTATGTGTAGATTCAGTAATTTTATGACAAAAAGTAAGTTATTTTCATGCTCTTTAAAGTGAAATAAATCAACATAACCAAAGGATACTGAGGAAAATGTAAATTTTCGACTGAAATTTCTTAATTGGCCGCTCTGGTGTTTTTTTTTTTTTTTTTTTTTTTAATCAAATTGGCAGAAAAATATTTTAAATTCGTAAAACATTCTCAAAAAATGGCAAGAAATCAGAAATGTGAAATAGACGCACAATTTCAAAAAAAATTCTGAGTTTTTCAGTGTTTTACAGCAGGTCAGAATTGCAAGAGTGTAATTATTCAAATGCAACAAAAATAACATGCTGAATTCTGAAGTTTTTCATTTGAAAAATTAAGAGAATAAAATCTAAATGGGTGCTCAGCCAAACAAAGTGCAAAATATGAATAAAGGCAGCAACATTAAAGCTCAAAAAATATTAATTCATTAGGTTAAAAAAAGCTTTCACAAAGCATGTGGCCATTCGAGCACGCCAGCTCTTCATCTGACAATATTGATCACTGCATGTTGCTCTTTTATACACCTCTAGAAGGACAAAAAATGCCAAAAAATTTATAAATTCAAAATAAACATGTTCAGTTCTGACTTATTTTTCATATGATTGACTAAGAGAAAAAAATCTGCATTGTAAGAGGCACATTTAGAATTGCATTCCTTTCTTTATATGTATAATGATGGATTTTTTTATATGTAAAATGATGGATTTCCTCTTTTGTTATCGGAGCCAAATGAGAATGTTAAAATAATATTTGCTCTCATCTTGTGTTCTTCAGGCTCCTGCACCCGTTCAGGTGGTGACCCAGTCTAAACCAGTGCCTGTTCCTGTGTCCTGTCACTGGACTCCATCTCTCACTGTCCACCAGAGCAAGCAGGTCAGCTTTTTTTTCCTTTATTAACTGATTCAGTAGCATAGGCACATTCAAGCATAGGCATCTTTTAAATGACTGTGATTTTGATTAAGCAATCAGAACATACAAAGAGACACATGGTCTCAGACATGCTGTGTCTTTGCACTGGAAATGGGAGTGACAAAATGTTGTTTTTGTGTCGTTTGTCCCTCCCACAGATGTTAATGATAATACAGTGCCATCTAGTGGAGTTGAGTACACAGTGTTCTCTTTGTCTGAACACATGCTTGTCACTAGCCTGAAAAATCATGCAGAAACATAAAGACCAGCACATTTTTTTTTATCTTAAGCGATTTTTATTTGATTACCCCTGATTTATGTCTATTGATATTCTGTCAAGATCCATAAAGGGATAGTTCACCCTTAAATTTACTTATCCTCAACTGGCTCCAAACCTTGACGAGTTTAATGTTTTTCAGTGAACACAGAAGAAAATATTTTGAAGAATGTTGGAAACTGGTAGCCATCGACTTCCATAGTATTATAAAAGCCACTAGCCACTGACTGCAGTAGTGTATATACAATGGAATTCAATGGCTACAGGTTTCCAACATTCTTCAAAACAACATCTTTTGTGTTCAATAGAAGCACAATTGGGAGGTGAGTGAACTGTCGCTTCATTAATGCTGCATTGTTTGTACAACAGAGCAGTGTTTTCAGCGGTAATGTAACCTGCAGTGCGTCATTCTGTGACTAATGGTGCTCTCTCTCTCTCTCTCTCTCTCTCTCTCTCTCTCTCTCTCTCTCTCTCTCTCTCTCTCTCTCTCTCTCTCTCTCTCTCCGTCTCTCTCTCTCTCTCTCTCTCTCTCTCTCCGTCTCTCTCTCTCTCTCTCTCTCTCTCTCTCTCTCTCTCTCTCTCTCTCTCTCTCTCTCTCTCTCTCTCTCTCTCTCTCTCTCTCTCTCTCTCTCTCTCTCTCTCTGCTGGTCTGCAGGGATCACCGTTCCGCCGTCGGTCAGTCAGTGTTGGTGAACAGTGGCTCCAGAATAACAGCGCCTCCTTCAGGCCGCATCCTGCCAGTGTTTCCCCTCCAAGAAACCATTGCACTTCCAGGTAAGACTTGCTATTTTCCAGTCATTCCGACTCCTATTCATCCATTTAAAGTTCATTTATAACGTTTATTTATTTATAAAAACTGGGTTTATTGTGCTTCCATGACAAGGGAAATTTATTCTGTTTTAGCCATTTTGTTTTACATTAGAATTTACTACATTTCTCCACCTGTAATGACCTTTGTTGATACAACCAAGTGGAAAATAAAAGTATAACCACACAATGGTTTAAATCTATACAGACTCTACATGACTCTCTTCTGAGTATTTAAACAATTCAGTTTGTTTTCAGTTTGATATTTTTTTTTCTCTTTCTCTCTGAGAGAAAGTAGCTTTTGCTCCCTAGTATTTTTAAAAAAATTCTTACTTTGGTCGCTACTCTTTTCAGTTTTCCGCTGCTGATGATTGGAATCATCTGTAGCAATGCTTTTTTCCCCATTATTATACTTTGAAAACTCAATCCAGTTAATAGTACAAGATCACAGTGCTTGTTTTTAGTTTTTATTTTAGATGTTATTTTCTGCATTTCAGCACCTTGTTGCACCATCTGCTTTTTAGGGTGCCTCAAGACCAGAGAACTAGTTCTCAGTTGATTAGCCTAGTTAAATAAAAGTTATAATATTATCTTAGCACATTAAGACTAGGCATGGGCTGGTCTAAGATTCTGTTGGTATGAATATCTTGGATAAAAATATCGCGGATTTACGCCTTCACAGTGTTGTGATTACTGCTCAAACGCAAGTTATTTTAAAATGTCTGGGTGTAAAGCAACAACTTTTTCCCCGTTGAAAACAATGTTTTATTTTAAGAAACATTTAAAATATTTAGGATTTTTAAAATTGTTTAAAACTATTTAAATAAATGACTGTCTTCATTAGTTTCAAAAACACAGATTTCATAACTTGAAAAGGCATCTTTGGATCGCTTTCTTTTCTTTGGATATAAAGTAAAGCCACTGCACTGTTCAGGTCTACAGCATGGTTGTATGTTGGTGTAAGTGACTTGTTTTTCAAACAATTCATGAATCGTGGGCTGACCAGTAGCTTTTCATTTAGAGGGTCCTTTTGATGTAGACAGCAAAAAACCTAATGAAACAGTTGTAAAAAAACACATAAAAAAACAACTCACATATACCATGGGAACAGTATAAAAGAAAATGTTTTCGGTTTCAAAACCTTGACTTTTCCAAACCGCAGTAAACCTTGAAACCGGTTATCGCCCCATGCCTAATCAAGACTGCATTTAATTGATGTTTAAAATTATGCTACATTTTTGATATATGGTCACACAGGTCGTTTTTGCATGTCGTTTTTACAAAATAAATGTAAATTAGTAAGGCCTAGCATTATTTGTATTTTTTTCCTTTTTGTTATTTTATTTTGTTTTACCTTTTGAGACTATATACTTTTATATAACTATTTTATGTTGTTCATATTTTTCATGTACACCACTGGCATTGTTTTATGTAGTTCATGCATTAAAAAAAGTTGAAAACAGGACTTGTTTTAGGATGTATATTTTAAAAAGTTTATTTTTAATTTTTATGATTTGTCAATTTAAAAATCTTCTTCATAATCAAATTGATCACATCCCTATTGAATAATGCCGAGTTCAAACTGCATGATTTTCAAAGTAGTCGTGTCACAGATGTTTTCACACTGCATGACTATCTGGGCTAGCGTTTCGTCGCTGCTTTGTTTACACTGCAAGATGGTTTGGCGACATGGACATTCACATTGCATGACTTTACTATAGGGAGAATCACCGACAACTTCGTCCAAACTACGTCTCACAGCCAAAAACATGTAGTATATCTTTTGTTATTAACTACATAATGAGAAAGAAGCCTTTAATGGGGTAGAACATGTACATATTTGCTCACCTGGGTTTAAAGGGAATTAGCCATTTCTCCTCAACTTAAGTTGATAATAAACTAATTTCTTTCTGTATGAAACGTCAAACAGACACGGCTGCTCCTGAGTCCTGTCAAACCTCCCCTAGTTTTCCTCCATTTCGTGGGTCCAAATAAACCGAAAAAGAGCGCTTTTAACTTCTCCCCCAGCCTCCCGCTGGCCAGCAGCAGGTATACACTTGCACACACAAGTGAAAGCTGCTCTCTCATTGGCTGTAGGCGATTGCTGATGTTATTTTCAGTCAAAACTCAATTCACACGGCACGATTTGAATCGCCGACAGCTCCAGATATCTAGCACGCCAAATTTCTCACAGGCATCGGCGACTCATCGGCGATTCTCTCAGATCGCGTCTTTGATCGTTCATACTGTGTGATTGTCACGAGCAGCGATTTGCCTGTGATTTCAGGCATTTGTCGGCGATTTATCAAAACCTGTAGGCGAGCCAAAATCGGAGCTAAAATCACGCAGTCTGAACTAGGCATAAAAGTAATAATTAAAAAAAGAAAAAACAACAACTTGTTAACCCCAAAACTACCTCAAAGAGAATTGAGTTTGCTCACCCACAGGCCGTCCAAACATGTAGGATGTTTATTCTTCTTCAGTCTTTAATAATTCACAGCAGCTTATTCATTTTTGGCAAATTCTGTGTCCCTTTTAACGTCTTGCAAAAATGCTGATGTTAAAATGTTGTATTTAGATTATATGTCAAATTAAATGCTGCTTTTTTTTCCTGCTAACAGGAGGATTCGAGGTGAGGCCAAGAAATGCAGGAAGGTGTACGGCATTGAGCACCGAGACCAGTGGTGCACCGCCTGCCGCTGGAAAAAGGCCTGTCAGAGATTCCTCGACTAAAGCCTTCAAGAAATACAGACACTATCCTTACAGAAACCCACAGGAGGGGATCTGACCTGGAACTACGGTTGGAACAAACCAAAAGAGCACCTTTGTGACTTAACTTTTTCTACATTTTATCACGATTACCTGTGCTGTGTTTTATGAGACGTACTAAGGAACCATGATGGTGCTGGAAGAGTGATAAAGCAGATCTCGCAGTCTTCCTGCATCTTATATCAAGACCTGATGAAGTTTTATCCATTTTTGTTGTTTTGCAAGCATTAAACAGCCATAATACAACGGCAGATGTCAGATTGTTTTGGGTGTAAATCATCAGACACGGATGGAAAGTTTACTTCTCATTCCAGCTTATAAGAGATTACTGCGGTCCATTGCTTTCAGGGGCAAAATCGGCAGCTTTGGGTTAGTTGTAGATAGACAAGAAAGCAGAATCAGTGTCTCAATAGTATATAAAACACCGTTTATGTTCATGTATACCATGTTTACCTTTTGTTTTTTTCTTCTTCTTTGCTTTCCAGTGCAAAATTTTGTATAGCAAACTCTTGAAAAGGAAGAAAAAAAGGATTTTGTATTACGATTTTAATGTGTCATGTCATCATGGGTGTATTTCTATCACAGGTTATACTTCTGTGGATATGAGATGATTCTTTTTTCTGTCGATATTATGGAAGTATCCGTGTAAACATGCATGAGTTGATAGTTTATTCCTCTACTTAGTTTTACTCACTGGCTGTTCGTCCGTTTGGATTGCAATCTTGCCAAAGAGAATCCATCTCCACAAAATAATGTGAAATTAACCTGCTGACCATTCTTGGGATAAATGTAACCAGCTGTTACGATCGGTTCATGTACTCTGGGTCCAAATATTTTCTTATGTCGTAAAACACTTCTATTCGTCAACGTTTCGTGTGCATCTCCACTGTGTAGTCTCTCACCAAGCTCGATGCTTTGACCTCATGAAACTGAATGTAATTTACCCTGAAGATCTCCATAAGTCGTTGTGCATTTCCAACAGTCGGTGTCATATAGGTGTTTGAGGACGTTGTAGTCTGAGAGATATTCAGTAAACCTCATTAAGAACAATCTTTTTGTACATTTTTGTAAAGTACTTCCAAAGTGTTTCCTTTAATGAACCGTCTGAGATCTGTTCAAGATGAAAGTATAATTTCTTTTCATGAAACTTATGTTGCTTCATGCCTTTTTAAATAAACTTTTGTGCGAACGAGTACAAGTGTTGCTTTTTTAGTACTTCAAATCAACAATGAACAAAATACTTCAGGACACACAATCATTTGCTGCATGACAAGCCACAGAAAATAGTAAACTATTTTATTTGACATAGTTCATTGTTACTATGTACAGTTCATTTAGAGAACATTGTTTTTTTGTATTAATCCTTGGAATAAAGGGAAAAGCATGACTCTGCATCAATACATATTTTCATATGCGCAAATACAAATCAACTTTGTCAGTTCAAATAAAATTATAATTAAAGCTATTAATGTGCCACTCTTAGATGAGGAAGCAAACTCTGTGTGTGTATGTGCATGGCAGAATCTGTTATGTTTGTATAGGCATTTTACAGTGATGAGTCTTTGCTGAAATGGTTTATGACAAATCCGCCTCTGTTTATTTTTGAAGGGACACAGTAAACACTGATATCTTTTCTTAATCTCCTTAAAGGAATAGTTCACCATAGAAATATTGCTTCTATCAGTCATTTATGGTCATCAGTGACCCTGAACCACAAATCAGTCATAAGTTAAAAAGGATATACTTTTACACAATAGGCAAATGTACATTGTATATGCCAACATGATCAATTCTTCTGTTATGCAAAAATCTTTAGTAGCCTATATTAGATAAATAGGCTCTTTGGAGATATTTTGTAAATTTCCTATTATAAATATATCAAAACTACATTTTTGATTAGTCATGTAAAATACTTAGAACTTAATTTGGACAATTTAAAGGTGATTTACTCAGTATTTTGATTTGGTCTCAGATTTCAAATATCCACAGTCATATGTTGGCTGAACATTGGTCTATCCCTGCTTTAAAAAACAGCTTAAACCAGCCTGTTGGTTGGTTGGTTTTAGCTGGTCGACCAGCCTGGTTTTAGAGGGGTTTTTAGGACATTTCCAGTCTGGTCAGCCTGTCAGGCTGGAAAATGACCAGCTAAAACCAGCTTAACCTGCCTGGTTTAGGCAGGATGTAGCTGGTTTGGTTAGGCTGGTAAAGCTGGTTTTAGCTGGTTATCTCCCAGCCTGATCAGCTAAGACCTGCCTGGAATGGACAAAAGCCCATCTAAAACCAGGCTGGTCGACCAGCTAAAACTAGCCAACCAGCCTTTTTTTTTAGTAGACCATTTTTGAGGGACCATTTTTGAACTAAAACAATGGTCCCAACGTATTTCCTGTTTAATTTTTAATTTCTAACTTCAGAGAATTTAAAAAAAGCCATATTAATAAATAATATGATAATATGAAAAAGCAGGAAAGGTTCTAGGACCAATGACATGACCACACTGAAATGGTCTATTAACAAAGTATACCATAATGCAAAGCATATTTATTCATTTTTCAGATAATGCACAAATCCTGATACTTAAGAACAATTTTGTGGTCCAGAGTCAAATAATTTTGACACTTTTAGTACTTTCATTCATTCATTAAACACAATGTCTGGCATTTTTGTTTAACATTTTGGCATTTCATTTATAAAGCTTATATATTTTATAGATTCAAATTGTCTACATTCATACAAAACAGCCATTAGTGAAATAGTGAAAAGTTTTTTTGTAATATTACTGCACATATAAGCTCAAAATGTTTCATAAAGTGGTCCATTTGATGCAAGATTTATCCAGCCATTTTGCGAGGCCTACTGAACTAATTTGTAAATTTTCTCCAACATGCTTCATGCAGTTCACATGAACAGATTGCCAGAAGAGAGTTTGAATGCAAGCGTGAGATATGAAAGCAAAAAAATTAATGGATCAAGTTTTTTCCACATTCGCACATTCGAGCGTCATCCGCCATCTTTAAAGTTTGACTAGATGCGACCTGATGTGGGCTACGTTTTAGAAAAAGAAGATAACTTTTCCCAGGTGAGAATTTCTGGGTTTGTTTTTTTATTGTATTTATTTGGTACTCAACATTCCAGGGTTTTAAAAATGGTAACAATATAAACTAATAACATGTTAGCGACGATGCTGATGAAGGTTGAGTTTCCTCCATACAACAACTTGCTTAATAGCAGCCCATTAACAGACGCTAACGTGGCATCTCTGCGAGGTTTTTTCGCCCAAAACAATACAAGTAAGTCATGACAATTTTTTATATAAGTTTTGGCGAACTATTCCTTTAATCGTCCTATTTTGTGCCTGCCTGGCGCATCCTACCTCAATTTCTAGCAGTTCTTCTTTTGATTTACCAATAGGTGGCAGTATTGTTGAGGAGATGTGTTTAGACTTGTTTTTTTAATTCAATATTATACAACACCAGTCAACTAAAGCAATAAGTGTCTTAGATTAAATCTGAAGAGTTCTTAAAAGCTAATTTCACTTATTGTAAGCTTTGTTTGACAGATTAGATGCTTCAGTAAGTAAATAATCACACATTTAACCTTGTGGCACTATGAGAGAGAGATAGAGAGATAGAGAGAGAGAGAGAGAGAGAGAATGATGCACAATAGTTTTCAAATGAGCATAACAAATGGTTTGCTGGGTAAGTTTATTGGCTTCAAAGGTCAAAGCTTACTCGTTCTGTTGAGTGAGATCAGCAGACATGCTATTGTACTCGCTAGCTCGACTACTCATGCCCAAATACTGCTTGAGGAACTCGCTAAAGCGCTTCTGGTTGTTCCACTTGCGAGCAGATTTGCGGACCCCTATGAAACCTCCATATCTCTTTTGCAAAGACCTGCCAGGATCGATGAACTTCCTGTAGCCGTACTTGTTTTTGAGGAAGCCTCCAAAGCGTTTGATTAGGTGAATAGCAGATTCTTGCTCGTCTCCTTCGATCTCGCTGTCTCCATCACGCTCTTCTTCCGATTCCTGTGCTGATTGTACTTGCAGGAACTTGTATTTTTTGCTGAGCTGCCTGTCTTGGTCATCAGCACCCAAGGCCCGTGTTATGTGGTCAAACCTCTGGAGGGTTTCAGAAAGCTGCTCATCATCCTGATCCACTGGCAGAGAGGTGTCCGGCTCCTCTTCTGCTCTTTTCAAGATGGAGCCTTCGACCGATAACAAGGCTTTTGGTTTCTGCTCCACGATGGTCCTGCGACACATTTCCCAGGTGTCACCTGGGGAAAGTTTACCATGACACTCAACCAGACACACCTGAAGGAAGACACACATTGGCACACTATCAATATCAGTGTTGGGGGAAGTTACCTTTGAAAGTAATGAATTACAGTATTAAGTTACTCCCCAAAAAAGTAACTAGCTGCATAACTTAGTTACTTTTTATGCAAAGTAATGCAAGTAATGCTACTTTTAAGCTACTTTTGAGTTACTTTTTGAGTTACTTTATCATAGACTTGATCTCCTTCAGAACTTGCTGGGTATTTTTCGTTGTCTTTTTTTAATAGAGGAGCTCTGCATTTAACAACACAGCTTTGCAGGTATAACCTACACCTTCATTTACCTTTAAAAAAACCTAAAAATTATGTTACCTTAAGAGAACTTCCTGACGCTATACATGCCGTTTACAGAGTAATGAAAATTGAAAGCAATGTGTTTGCTACTTTTGTATTTAGTTCAGTATAATCACTGTCGATTGCGACCAATCCGCTTTTTTCCATGTGTTCAAAATAATGAGCATACTTCCATACAGAAATGTAAAGCTCTGCCATCTTGGTTTTTGTCTGGTTCCGCAGGGAGCTCATTTTTTTCTTATTGGATTTGATTCAACGTGATTATCCTAATTTTAATTCAGGAAACTATTTTTTAATCTCTAAAAAAGTAACTAAAATATTATTACTTCAATACAATTACTACTTACAAAGTAATTCGTTAATTATTACTTAAAAAGTAATATTATTACGTAACTCGCGTTTCTTGTATTGCATTACCCTAACACTGGTCAATATCATCATGCTTTGAAAAAAAAAAAAAAGGTTCTTTATTGAGATTGAGGGTTCCATTTTATGAAAAGTCTTATGGACTTATGGACAAGATCCATGCATTGTAGAAGTGAACTCGGATTTGGTAGGTAAAATCTGGCTTCATATTTAATTTAACTCTTTAGCAGTCATTCTCAAATTTATCGAACAAGCCTTCGTTCCACGAGTGCTGCTTTTTGAAGTGACTCATTCTGTAGGTTGGAAATGATTTATTGAATTGATTCATGGACCCTTTTCACAGGACTGTTATAACTCGTTTAACTTTCATCATAAACTTAAATCCTTAAAATGTTTTTATTATTTAGATTTATTTTAAACGTATGAAAATTTCTATGCATTTATAAACCGTATGTATTATATTATTTTTTGCGTCAAATTACATAAAATGTAATATTTCAGCAAATAGGATTGTATAAACATTATTTGTTGTATACTCTCCCATTCACTGTGCTCTAAGAAACCCGGAAATGCAGAAATACTTGTAATATGTGTTAGAAAGCAATGGGAATTTCATTCTTCCTTCATGATTAACTTTTTTAAATCAAAGTTTACAATGGGGGGTGCACTGAAAAAAAAGATTAATTGGATTTAGTCATTTTTTAAGGCAAACAATATGTTGGGCTGAATTTAAACAATTTAGTAATGTTCAACTTAACTTATTTGATTAAAATCATTCCATATGAATAGTTTGCAACCACTTACATTAAAGTTTAGTAAATCCAATAAATCTTTTTTTTTTTCCAATGTGTAACTCGAAATTCATTCATTCATTTTCTTTCCGGCTTAGTCCCTTTATTATTTAGGGGTCACCACAGCGGAATGAACTGTGAAAACACCTGTAATGTGTGTTTGAAACTGAAGCAATGGGAATTTCATTCTTGCTTCATGAGTAACTTTTAAAAATTGTGGTTGAAAAATAGGCATGGGCTGGTATTAGATTCTGACGGTATGATAACCGTGGATAAAAATATCCCCGTTTACAGTTTCACAATATTGTGATTACTGCTCTAAAAATGTCTGGGTGTAAAAACAACAACCTTTTTCCTTTTTCCCCACATTGAACACAATACATTTTATTTTAGGAAACTTTTAAAATATTTTGGCTTTTTAAATGTTATTTTTATTTAATTAAAAAAATGTTGTATTTTATTTTAAACATCTTAATTAGTTTCAAAAGGACTGAAATTAGTTGGATTGAATTTAAACAATTTAGTAATGTTCAACTTAACTTATTTTAATTAGAAATCATCCCATATAAATATTATGCAACCACTTACCTTAAGAAAGTTTAGTAAATTCAGTGAATCTTTTTTCAGTGTGTAACTGGACATTAATTAATTAATTAATTAATTAATTAATTAATTCATTCATTCATTCATTCATTCATTCATTCATTTATTTTCTTTCCGGCTTGGCTTAGTCCCTTTATTAATCAGGGGTCGCTACTCACCACACCCCTAATAAATAAAGGGACTACAACTTATCAAGCATATGTTTTACGCAGCGGATGCCCTTCCAGCTGCAACCCATCACTGGGAACCACCCATACACTCATTCACACACATACACTACGGACAATTTAGCTCACCCAGTTCACCTAAAGGGCATGTCTTTGAACTGGAAGGAAATTGTAGTACCCGGAGGAAATGAACACGAACACGGGAAAAACATGTAAACTCCTCACAGAAATGCCAGCTGATGCAACCAAGGCTCGAACCAGCGACTTTCTTGCTGTGAGGTGATCATGCTACCGACTGCGCCACCGTGATGCCCTAGTAAATCAAATTAATCTTTTTTTTTTCAGTGTGTAACTGGACATATTGTGTGGAAAATGTTTTTGCAATTAGTCAAAAAGGTTTTTTTTTTTTTCCAATTTATTGCATGGTTGAGCTGAGATCATATGAAACAGGGCTCTTGAATGTGGATATTTCTAGACAGGTTTATCTTAAGAATGCTGGACCAGAGATTAACCCTTTAAAAAAATCTGAAAAGTGTTTTTCATGAGAATTTAAAGTAGCAACAGGGAACTAAAGTCATGACCTTCACACATTAAAATGGAGAGGCCGCAACTTTGGTTTCCTATAATCCGCTACAATCGTTTAACCCATTTGAATTAAAAGTGTGATCTCCAGGGAGTTGGTTAGAGACAAGAATGGGAGATAAAGAGAGGGTCATTCATGCTGAAAAAATGATAAAAACACCTCGGGCAGTTCTGTGGAGGGCTAACTCAGGCCCATCAGTTTCCGTAAGCAGCCTTTGCCAAATGACGTTATTGTGTTTCTACTTAATTATCCAACATCATAACTCAATCACTCCAGCTGTTTTGAGTCAAGGCCCATCTTTAACCAAATTAGCACTTCTGCCCCCTCAAATGCGTCTTATTGACATGAATCAGAGAGTATGTTCTGCTCTGCTCCCAGCTGTAATCACTGCAGTGCACAACCACATTCCACTGTTATGATCGGTATAATCATGTCAACTAATGAGGGGTCTCTGGGAAATTCGATACAGTAGAGAACATAGGTCTTGAACAGTGGAAAAAAAATAAACAAGATGAAGAAAAATGTATGTGTAAAGTAACAGAAAACAATGTACAGTTGAAGTCAGAATTATTAGCCCCCCTTTGATTTTTTTTCTTTAAAAATTATGATTAACAAAATCATCATTTTTGTTAATCATCAAATGATGTTTAACAGAGCAAGGGAATTTTCACAGTATGTCTGATTATATTTTTTCTTTTGGAAAAAGTCTTATTTGTTTTATTTCTACTAGAATAAAATCAGTTTTTATTAAAAAAAAAAAACATTTTAAGTTCAAAATTATTAGCCCCTTTAAGCTATATTTTTTTTCGATAGTCTACTGAACAAACCCTCACTACACAATAACTTGCTTAATTACCCCAACCTGCTTAGTTAACTTAATTAATCTAGTTAAGCCTTTAAATGTCACTTTAAGCTGTATAGAAGTGTCTTGAAAAATATCTAGTCAAATATTATTTACTGTCATGATGGCAAAGATAAAATAAATCAATTATTAGAAATGAGTTATTAAAACTATTATGTTTAGAAATGTGTTGAAAAAAACTGCTCTCCATTAAACAGAGATTAGAGGAAAAAATAAACAGGGTGGCTAATAATTTTAACTTTAACTGTATATGGACTAGGAATGCTCCGATTGATCAGCTGGGGATCGGTATTAGGCATGTGACGATAACCGTTTACAAGGTATACCGTGGTTTGAAGAAGTCAAGGTTTTAAAACCACCAACATTTTCTAATACTGTTCCTAAGGTATGTGTAATTTTTTTTTATTTACATTTACTTTTAATTTTTTAGGAAAACAGTATCACCAGCAGAAAAAAATATCCAAAGATGCCATTTTAAATTGTACAGAAATCTGTGTATTTAAAATAAATGAAGACAGCAGTCTGACATGTTTACTGCTCCAAAATATTTTAAATGTTTCTCAAAATGAAATGTATTGTGTTCAAAGGGGAAAAAAGTTTGAGTTTTTTTTTCAGGGTGTCTGCAGGGTCTTAAAATGTCTTAAATTTCAAAACAAACTTTTTTTTTTAAACAAAATTCACTGAAATATGCTGTTGTGGATCTTAAATACTTTTAAACAGTTTTAAACTTTTCCATAAGTGTCCATGTAAAGATAGCCAATCAGTGCAACCAACAAATCCATCTAAAAAAAATGTAATGAAATTAACATTTATTAACTTTTAAGCAATATGGTTTAATTGTGTTCTTTGCATCCTTACAATAACATTTGTTTAATAGTTCCATGTTTTCATATTTTTATGCAAAATTTAATTGTGCATAAATTTTGTTTAATTTAGCTTTAAAACTTTAAGACATTTTGATTGTCTTTAATATTGTTTATGCTACATTGCATTTGTGAAAAATAATCTGTTTTGTAATCAGCCATTTATTTGAGAAATAATAGAATATAACACTTTAGGATCATATGAGATCTCTGATTACATCTGCTTGTGTCCTTGGTGAGGTACTTTTTCAGATTTAAAATTCTCAAAGTCTTCAACAGCACTCTGTTGTCTAAAAGAGTTCTTGTGAGAGATGTTGTTTGTGAAATGTAGGGAATTACCAGATTGTTGAAGGCATATTCATTAGGCAGTTTCTGGCTGCAGAAGAGGCAATCCTTCTGGCAGTCACACCACGCTGGGTTACAGAGTCCAAGCAACAGTAGCGTCCACAGTGGAGCCTTCATCACGAAGTGTGTTAACAGCTGAAGTACAGTCTGCAGAGAGATGGAGAGCAGAGATGATGGCGTGAGAGAGAGAAAATTGGTTACAGTTCCAGGAAGTAAACCACAACAGAATGTGGATTAGTTCAAGTCAAAAGACTGACTGATTCTGATCAAAAGTGATCAACTGTTTTAGAAATAAGGCTAGATGACATCAAAGTTATATATATATATATATATATATATATATATATATATATATATATATATATATACGTATATATATATATATATATATATATATTTTTTTTTTTTTATTTATTCTTTTAAATCAATAAAAAAATAAATAGCCAGAAGCATCCCTTTAGCATGCCAAGACTGCATTTAAGCGTGAAGTCAAACAGTAATATTGTGAAATATTTGAAATTCAATCACACACTGTAAAACCTAACAGTGAAAGTCACTAAATAAAATGAGTTTGTTTAACTTTGAGTTACTTAGTTACTTTGACTTTAAAACTCACTATATTAAGCAGAACTCAAAGCAAATTATTTTTGCTGCTTGTTCAAACTACTAATTTAAAATGAGCTAAATCAACACAATTCTTGAGTTTTTTTGAGACAACCTAATTGTTTAATGTTAAAATCACTTATATTTGTAAAAACAATAACATTAACTTAATTGATTTGTGTTGGGACAACATAAAGGAATTGTGTGGAACCTAGTATTTTTTTTACAGTAAATGGCTGACTGTAAAATACAGGCTGGATGACATAAATATTGCTTATTTATATACATTACTACACTGTAAAACACAAAAGTCAATTTTATCAAATGAAATGAGTGTAGTTAACTTTAAAATTGACTGAAAGTAAAAAAAGTTTTGAACTGTGTTAAAGGTAATGAGTTAATGAAATACCTCATTACTTCACCTTAAATGGAGTAAGTTCACAGTACTCATATAGATTAGTTTTTTTTTTTGCTCAAATGGTTTGTAGCAATCGGTTTGCTCAAACGGTTTAAGTTGCTTTAACTTATTTGGTTGTACAGTACTGCAATTGGTTTGAGTTCTCTTCATTTATTGGGTTTTACTGTGCTCCAATTGCTTCATTTACTCAACAGGATTAAGTTCACAGTACTCATTAGGATTCGTTTTTGAACTTAAATTGTCTGTTGCAATTGGTTTCCTCAAGTAGTTTGAGTTACCTTAACTTTTTGGGTTTTACAGTGTATTTAAAGCTTTAGGGTTGGTATAGTCATTTCCTTTTAATCGATACAAAAATAAATAACCAGAAGCATCACTTTAGCATGCCAAGTCTGCATTTATTTGAGTATACAGTCAAACAGTAATATTATAAAATAATTTAAATACAATCATACACTGTAAAACCTAACAGTGAAAGACACTTAATGAAATGAGTTTGGTTAACACATAATAGTTTGAGTTACTTTGACTGAATGAAAAATTTTTTTTTGCTGCAGATTTTTTTTTTTTTTTTTTTTTGGACAACCTAATTGTTAATGTTTAAATCATTTAAATTTGTAAGTTAACTTAATGAACTTGTGTTTTTGAAAAAAACTGAAAAAAAAGGATGTCTGAAAAATTGTTGCAAACAATTTATATGTGCTGAATGTGAACAAACAAATACAATTTAGTAATGTTTCAGCTTAATTTGTTTGTTTAAAATTAAGCCCATTTACATTGTTTACAACCGCTTAACCTAAAAATTAGAAAATCATCTTTGCATCATTTTTTTTCAGTGTAGAAATAGGCTGGATGACATCACTGTGGTTTATTTATATGCATTACTATTTAAAGCTTTATGGTTGGTATAATCATTTCTTTTCAATCCAAAAATAAATAACCAGAAGCATCACTTTAGCATGCCATAACTGTGTTTATTTCAGCATAAAATAACAGTAATATTGTGAAATATTATATCACAAATTGAAATGCAATTATATGTATATATGATTTATAAATATCTGGAAAATATAATATCCTTTATTTCTGGGAAAAGCTGGATTACATTTATTTTCTTCTTGTCTTTAGTATAGCATGATCTTTTATTTCTTGGTAACGCTTTACAATAGGTTGTAGTTAAAATTAGTTAATGCATTTACTAACATGAACAAACTATGAACAATACATTTACTGCAGTATTTGTTCACGTTAGCTAATGATAGTTAATTGAAATGAAGTTGTTGATTGTTAGTTCATGTTAACTCACGGTGCATAACCAAGCATGACTTTAGATGTCAATAATGCATTAGTAAATGTTGATTATTAAATGCTGTACACGTATAATTTATTATTATTCCATGTTAGTAAATACATTAACGAATGAAACCGTATTCTAGATAGTGACCTATTTCTTTTTATTTTCAATGTCGAAAGCAGTTGTGCTCCCTAAATAATTTTTTTGTAAACCGTAATAAATTCTTTTAGGATTCTTAACTTTAGTAAAAAACCCGAAACAAACAGCATTCATTTGAAATGTGTACAAATATTTAGTGCCATTTGATTAATTGAAATAATTCATGCTAAATCAAAGTATACTTTCATTTAAAAACAAACAAACAAACAAACATTTATTTACTGTAACCTTGCAATGCCTTTCACAATGTACTTGCTTTTGATTTTAAAGGTATAAAGAACTTTACTGCTATTACACACTGACTGATTGTTTTTATTTATTTGTTATTATTGTATTGGAGTTGTGTATGCACCCTATACGTACACTTGCTGTACATTTGTGTGACACTTGAGAACTTTGATGTTTGCAGAATGCTAGCTATGTGTCTTTTCTGTTAAAGCTACAAAAGAGAAATTAGTGTTGGGGATGTTTGTATTTTTTGTTTGTTTGTTTTTGTTGACTGCTTGATTTTCTGTTTTGTGCAAATTTATAAAAAAATCCTATAAATAAAGTATATAAAAACATCTGTTTGCTTTAAAAAACAACAATTCAGAACATATAAGAATCCTAAAGACATTTGCAGAGCTTAAAATAAAGACGCCGGAGCTAAATATGTTATCTAGTCCACAGAAAAACAACTTGCTTGTCGATTAAACATCATTTATTAAATAATTAATGATGCTTTATTGTGGCAGTGATGGTTGTTGCTGGGCGTCTTGTTTTCTATGTTGTTTTTCTTGGCGGAAGCTTTAAGCTTATCTAAGATTAATTAATTGAATAAAAGCCATTTCAATATTTAATGTTCAATTATTTGTTTACTTAACAAATGGCTATATGCAATAAGCAGATTAATATGCAGTCAGAAGGTCACTATTGCAAAATAAACCCCTTTAGGGTGAGATTACCTGGCAACACTGCCTGAAAACATGCCTCAGATTATCAAAAATAGATTCAGATGTAAAAGTAAACCACAATGATTTGGTTATCTCAATAGTTTTTACAAATTTAAGTGGGTTGAACGTAAATTAATTAAGTTATCCCCCCCAAAAAACCTTAGGAATAGTGTTGCTCAAATCATTTTGTATGTACTATAGTTTTAAGTCATTTTTTGAGTGTATGATGTTACCTAAAAATGTTTAAAGGTACGTCTTGCTTGGCAGACTTGGCAGTCCTTTATTAGCAAAATTCATCATCTGTAGTAATTGAAGCTCGAATTAGTGCTTGTGGCGTAATGAGAGCAGAATAAAGAAGAAGAGGAGGAGGAGGATTTGAGCCACTGTGATGCACGCTGGTTAAGCAGTCTTAGTCACCATATTAGTCCAAACAATAGAAAGGACTATAAAGCTTCAGCATAAAAAAGGATTGAAGCGCTTTAAGAATAAAACCCTTATTCTGTGGCTTCCTTGTCAAGCAAATAAAGCCCTGATGAGAATGTATGTTTTCAGGCCTGACAGGCTACCCGCAGAACCATCAGTTGTTTAGCTGCTTCTGAAGCAACATCGGGATAAATCAATTTCACCTGCATTACACTTGTACTGAAGGTGTCACCGCGAACAAAAGCAAAGGTGTAAGTCACGGAGAATCGATAGGCACCCCTGGAGTGAGTTTTATTGAATTCAGTCACTGTACGAGCAACGACAGGGAAAAACACATAATTATAAGTGTGTGTGAGTGAATTACGCACAACTTTATGTTGGGGTGAACGAGCTAGATATTGATTTTGCAACCCTTTAGTTAATTTAGTTTCTTTTTTTTTTATTTAAGGGAACTACAAGATGACGCAGCTAAATGGATTCTGGCCAGGGTGCAGCATTTCTTGGAGGTGATTTTTCAAGTGAAGATTGTACAGGTTTTTCCCTTTTCAGCATTTATTCAAGTTTCTCATTTAAATTTAGATGACTAGTACGGGTTTTGCTGTGCACCTGAGGTGAACCAGAAGTTCTTAATCTCGCCGCAGTTTGTACAGACCGATACATACATGTGGGATGCAAGAGCTTGGCAGGCCTTCAAGATTTAATTAACTAACTCAATTATGTAATAAAAAGGACTTAACTAAGATAGACACCGTGATTTAACTCCTGACCTTTGGAATTATCTCATATACTCAAAGGAAAGAACGATCTCTCATTAACTAAGTAGGAGGAAATTGGTGGAGTTTGAGAAACTGTTGGTTTTATTTCATAAGAAGGCTTTTGTTTCCGAACAGTGGCTATGTTTACATGTGCATGAGTAATCAAGTTATTTACGTTAATCTGAATAAGGCAATAATACGATTAAGGTGTTTACATGAGTTGTGTTTTGAATGTTCCTTTCATGATCCCGTTTTACATGTTAACAGCACTTAATTCGATTACAGTTTTTCTTCCACATTCACAAAACAGTTAACAAACAGGCCTAAACAGCGGCACTCATGGTCAAAATGACACAATTTACTTGCAAAACGCACACACCGTGTCAAAACATATAAATATAAAAATAAATAAAAAATCAAATATGCAACAAAAGCTAGTTTTACCTGTAAACAACACAACTTGCAAACAAGTTAATGAGCTCTTTTAATTAATCATTACACAATGGACAACAAAATACAAAATACAGAACTCCGTGTGAATCAGTGCACTATTGCTTGCAATTGTA